GTTTCTTTATAGACAATACTCAACTGCTAATTGATTGGAGGAATTTTTTATTTCCATTATTACAAGAAAATAATATTCGTCATTTAAGAAATTATATTGACTGGGATATCATCAGTCAACGAAACGATTTATCTCTCTCTCACATTCATTTCTGAATGCACTGATAAGTTAAATTGGGAAATCCTATTTTATTATACATTTCTGCTAGTAAGTGGAGTAATAATTTCTGTTGATTGTAAACAATCAACAGACATTATTACTCCACTTACTAGCAGAAATGTGCCATGTTTTAGATAAAGTGAATGAGAAAACTGGAAAAGCTTAAATATAATAAACTAATTTAATCTATTAATGTAAAAACAAAAACTTTCAAAAATAATTTTGTTTTGGTGTTATATTATTTTATACAATTGTCGTGTATTAATTTTCTCGGATATTAAAACATTTAATAATTAATACACAAACTCTGGCTTATGTTAAAATAACATTAATTTAATTTAAATTCTTAATTACAAAATTAGTTTTATGATCAGCATGCATCAAATCACTACTACTGCTATTAATGACACAAAGTAATTGATGACACAATGAAACGTTCAGAAAGTCAGCAATCACTATTGGTTGCCTTTTGTTGTACATCTGCGAACAAACACTTCTCAGCAAGTTAGTGTTTTAAAACACAGATAGGATATCAAAGAAATGTTATTGTCACGTTAGCAATTTTCTTTATCTGCTCAATTTCTAAATTTCTTGCCCAAATTTCAGATTATTTGTGGTACCAGATAATATATAAGCTTCGACTATGTATAAGTGATCTGCAGAGGAATTCTGGTACTCTTTTTCCACAGACTATGGTTTATTTTTTATAATAAATTANGTGTATTAATTTTCTCGGATATTAAAACATTTAATAATTAATACACAAACTCTGGCTTATGTTAAAATAACATTAATTTAATTTAAATTCTTAATTACAAAATTAGTTTTATGATCAGCATGCATCAAATCACTACTACTGCTATTAATGACACAAAGTAATTGATGACACAATGAAACGTTCAGAAAGTCAGCAATCACTATTGGTTGCCTTTTGTTGTACATCTGCGAACAAACACTTCTCAGCAAGTTAGTGTTTTAAAACACAGATAGGATATCAAAGAAATGTTATTGTCACGTTAGCAATTTTCTTTATCTGCTCAATTTCTAAATTTCTTGCCCAAATTTCAGATTATTTGTGGTACCAGATAATATATAAGCTTCGACTATGTATAAGTGATCTGCAGAGGAATTCTGGTACTCTTTTTCCACAGACTATGGTTTATTTTTTATAATAAATTAGCTAGTTATTATCATCATCATTGTAGATACAGTAATAAGATTGATATTACTGTGTAACTTTCTCAGATTAAAATAAAGTATATTGTAATAATATTAATATTTATAGGAATTTGTCATATTAAAATATTCTTTAATGAAATTATATTATTTTTAACATATTTTCTTTCTACAGCTAAACATAATAATTCGTACGAATGGAAAGTAGCTGCGCTAAAGGTAAAATCTACAATGTAAAATTTAAAATTCAGTTATAAGTGTTTACAAATTCTCCGTTTTTTTACAAGAATCCAAATTTTATAACTTTTGACGCAACTCAGACTAAAATGATAGGAGGATATCATTTTCGTGTCTTCAAAGCTCTCCAAGAAAAACTGAAATTTCGGTATTTTGAAAATTATTTCGAAAATTCTATTTATGATTTAATTCTACGAAACTGTAAAAAGTAGGATAATATACATAATTTATTTCAAAAACAATAAACAATTCGGTTAAGTTTATTTTGTTTGTTTAATTATAAATAGTCGATTAATTTGTGTAAACAATTTATAAATATTTTCAGCACATCTGTGCAATAACTGTTATAAATTTCTATTATATTATAAACCATAAAATTTAAACAGAATTCTAATACGAAAAATTGTTATGTATAATTATATTCACATATAAATGGAGCTTAATGTTCACTCTTTGATTTATAAACAGTAACACAATAAAACATATGTTGTAGCCTTATTGATCTAATAGTTCTAAAGAGTAAACAATAAGTTCTGTATAAATCGTAAAAAACGAATAATTTATGTATATGAAATTGCCTATGGAAAGGAATTAATGTTTCTATAAATAGGATGACAGATGATGTTAATTATAAATTTTTTTAACGTATCACTTGTACCATGTAATATAAAATTTGAGTATTTCCAAAATGTTCTATATATTCTAAATTACTATTAATGTTGTATTAAAATTTTCTACATTATTGTCAATGACATTGTCCTGCACTTTTTATAATATAATCAGTCTCAAAGTCCTGCTTTAATAAAACTTTTATAGGATAAAGATTAATATTGTATAATTTCTGTAAAAATTTCTCCCCACAAAGCGAATGATGAATATACGAATTAAAAAATATCTCTTATCAAAAATTTTTGTAAATTAATTCAGTTTCCGTTGTACACAATCTAAACACGTCATCGAAATATATACTTAAGAAAAGAAATAAGCCAAACAACCATATCTTTACATAATGTTGCTTACTATTTAATTCTTTTCTTTATTCAAACTGGTCATGATACTTTTTAAGAGTATTTCAAAGCTTTTCTTCAACTAGTCTGTTATTCCCCACCATATAACGTACAGAGACCTATCGCAATAAAAGAGTATATTACACATGTTACTCATTAAGAACTTTTCTTCCATAATTTCATATGATATATTAACAAAAGCTTAGAGTAAATTTACATTATTCAGATAAAGTGGATTTTTCAGTAGCAAAAATACAGAATTACAGAATTTAGTATTTATACTAAAAGAATTTTTAAACGTTTACATTTCTATATTTCATATTAGAGTGAATTTAAGAATTTTTCCTCCATTTATCTTTAACTAAAATTTAATTTTTTGTGCAAAATTAGTTATTCCATAGCTAAGCCAATAGATGAATACTTTGGAACATTAAGCAAGAATGGAACATGGACTGAAATGACTGGTAAAATTGTAAGACAAGTAAGTAATTTCTTTTTAAACACCTACGCTTATTTATTATATTAGTGTTTGTTGTTTTATTCGATTTTTTTCTTGTTTATACTGTATTCTGTATAAGTTGTGTATGAACAGATAAAGTAACCATACATAAATGATTCGAAATATTTTGTTTCATTCTGCTAATAAAAATAACACTTATGCAGTGAATCCGTAAAATCATAAAAGACATTGATATGTCAGAAGAGTATACAGGTACTTAAATGAAACTATTTATTTTGTAATAAAGTAAAGCGAAAAGTTTTTCAAACCAGCATTTATCTATTGCTTTATCACATGATGACATAGATCTGTTAGGAATTACATTTACAGTAATCCAGTACATCAGATAAAACTGCAAACATATCTACCGATTATATTTATTGTTGTACTTCATTTAATTGATAACAAGTAATGTTTTTAAGACAAATAATTAATAATATACATTTACAGTACATTTATTCTCTATTGATCGTTGCAATTTCAAACGTTTTTGTTTAAAAATTATCATCGATTGAGGCTTTATGGAGCTGCAATGTGTGCAGAAACGTGTATCTGTAAAGCTCCTTCGAAAAAAGTTTTAAAACTTTATAATAATTAGGAAACTATTATTTCATGAAATTGTTCTTTCACTTTTTTAAATAATAAAGTAATATATATGTTTGTGCGAGTGAATTCAAGCATTCAACTTTTTCATAAAGAAAATACGTTGATTTTTATATCACCAAATAATATCACTTTTAAGATTAAATTTTTCATCAAAAGTCACGTTTTAGTTACTGAAATAAAACAATAATTTCTTTCTAATTATAAGGAAGTGGACATGGGAATAATTCCGATGTTTATTAAATTCGGTTTATATTCAATGGTGGAGTTTTCTGAAACAATTGGATTACGATCTGCGATTTTTGTTGTCAAAGCTCCACAGAAGTTTTCTAATTGGAGTTCTATTGTTGCTCCATTTACATTTACGGTAAGGAATTGTTATTTCACTTATAACATTTTCAACATAATTGACATAATTCAAATTTTTAGATGTGGATCTCTGTGTTCGTAACCACAATTGTTTTCGGACTGGCATTGCACAAAGTATTAAAACGTGACTTTTTATTACAAAATATTAAAGTATTTTGGCCAAGAAGTAAGGTTTTCTGGAATTTATTTTGTACCTTCGTATATCAAGGTAAGATTATTTATTTTTGTACAATTTATAATAGATCGTTTTCATATATTAAACTTTGTATATGCAGGAATAAATTTAGGTTTTATAAGAAGGTTTTCATCGAGATTTATGATAGGAATATGGTGGATATCTACCGTTGTTTTAGTATCTAGTTACAGTGGAACTTTAATGTCCTTCATGACGTATCCTGTTACTGAAACAGTTCCGAAAACTTTTGATGAATTAGCAAATTCTGTCCTCATGGGAAAATATTCTTGTGGAATACCCTCTAAAGGTGAAATATGGCGAAGAATTTCTGTAAGTTAAGCAATTATGTAAAATTAATATATTTTAGTCAAAAACTTAACATGTCGAATAATTTTAGAATTCCAAATTAAAAACTGCTAAAATAATAACAGATCATATAACAGAAAACAACAACTTTATTAAGTTATCAGAAGGAATAGAAAGAGTGCAGAAAGAGCGATTTGCTTTAATATACGGTGAACATGTGATAAAAAAGTATATCCGGAAAGAAGATTTCAATAAATTTGTCTTTTCGAATGACAAATTTGACACATATATAGAAGCTTATGCAATGAAAAAAAAAATTTCCATTTTTAAATCAAATAAACAAAATGTAAGTATCACTTTCAGGTAGATCATTTTTAAGTTTTTACATTAATTTCTAAAACGATACAATTAAAAAACCTTAATTTTCAGAATACGTCGTTTATTTGATTCTGGATTTATCGATAAAATCGATCATGCTGAAGATTCTGAAACAATCGATGCTTCAGAATTCCACGAATTATCTGTGGACGAAGTCATCAGCCCTATTTTATTACTTATATTAGGCTACATTTTGTCTCTTTTCTGCTTAATTGTTGAAAGAATTTATATTAAATTATTCTGTTTTTAATGCTTTATATTTTATTTACTTTATTAGTAATTCACTTTAGTAATAAAGTGTCAACTAAAGTTTCGTATTTATAATAAAATAATCTTTAGAATAAAAGTCAAATAATTCCATTTTAATTATCGTATGCTCTAATGTAGATATCTCACTGTAGTTTAGAAAACTATTATATAAACTTCTCAAAAATTTTTTGTATATAAAAAAATTTTAAATTAATATCAAAATGCACATGTGTGTAATTTCAAGTTAATTTTTACCCATATTAATGGATATTATTCACACGCATAATACATATTTTATGTGCATAAAATATTAATAAATGTACACGTGCAAATGTTACTTGTATTCTCCATAAGCTCTCAAAAACAATTGTAAATTTTGTTACTAATTATTCAGTATTATAAATAAATAAGCATAAAGTATAATGAAATTTATTGTGTCATAATAAATACTGCTATTTAATACATTTTTTCTATGCTACGATTTATATAAATAATAAAATGTGTTAATTGTTAGATAATAGGGGTTACAGTAAAAAATAAGCTATGGTAAACTCGTTTATTTTCTAGTATAAAAAATATTTTTTTTATTTAAATTATTCAGATTGCATTGTCAATATGTTTACATTTATTAATGAATACATTAAGATATAAAAATATTTTTCGAGAATTGAAAAAACAAAATTCATTTTTACCTTTTTTTTGTGTTATATGTTTAACAAGGAAAAGTATCGAGTTTTTTTTCAAACCTGTTTTGAAAACCCTTGAATTCAAAAAGTTAAGAGAACGGATAAACGTTCTGTGTATGACTGTGTTGGATCCTATTTTTTAATATCTAAGGATAAGTACAAATTATAAAACGAAATATATTATAGTAACTTGTATATAAGAGGCATTGTCCATATAAAATTTTAGTGGTTGATCAACTAGTAAAAAAAATAGAAAAATATCACGTGTCATACTTAAAGTACAATCAATTTTAAGTAATAAAGATTATAGTTGTAATTTAACCATCTAATAATTTCTGTAAAAGTTTTCTCACCCCTCAAAATTGAATATATGTAATTTTATTAGATTAATTTATTTCAATAATAATAAGAGTAATAATAATAATAATAAAAGTAATTAATAATTAATAATTTAATTAATTATTAGAAGTTTTTCACTAATATTACGTAACAGATAGCGACAGAAACACTTTTGACTGCTGTTGTGTGAAAACTGAAATAACTTGTTTGCTGATATTTGATTTTGTTCTTCTCGATGGGTGTTAAACATGCATGGCCTTCTGGCCGACGTCATTTTTTTAAACAATAAAAACAGTAAATTGACACGATCAACTTTACTAAATATAATATATATATATGTAAAGCTTTTTTTCCTAGTTTTTCAATCCTGACATTAAACTTCAGATCTCGTATTGTGTGTTCGAAGCTTTTGTTCACTGATTAAAGTATTTTAATTATCTTTGTTTTTTTGTTCGAAATGTGTTCTTTTGTTTCAGTCGTCATACAGGTTTTTGGGCATTGAGCCGTGTTTCTGGTTTAGATGGTTTACCTTTACCTTTACATACATCAATATTAGATTGCGACATTAAATCAAGCGAAGACTATGTTATCTTGGAACGTATTACGGAAAGTTTTAAAAGATATTTGATGAAAATTCTTCATCTTCTTTTATAATTTACGTGAATAATTTGGAATGAAAGAAGATCGTGTTATTCCGATTTAGGAAATTTGCCGGTTATCAAGTCAGTGCTGATTGGATGGTTACTGGCAAATTTATCACACAGAAATACACAGTATAGCACAAAAACTGTACAGCACTATACGATTTACACTATACAAACCTGGGTATGATTTATTAACACAAAAAAGCCCGAAAAAATAAATAGTTGTTCTGATTGCGACAGTGTATTTATATTGAATATATAAGTTATATTTCATAATTGAGATTTATAACACTTAAAAAAAATAGTGTTTTAAATATTTTGGAAGTTTTGTATTACTGCATATACTTATTTTAAATGAAATAGTGCTATAATGTTTAATTACGGTGTTCTCATTACTGGCACTAGATGTCGATGCTAAATAAGTAGTAGACTGTTTAGAAGCAAAAAGTTAAATAAGTCGTTAAAAATGCGCAAAATCGCTTTTTATTTACTGTTCGTACGTTGTTGCACCAGTTGTGAAAAGGGTAGACAGATAATATTACCGAGAGATAACGAACGATCAAATTCAGTGAAAGGAACACATCGAATTGAAAATTAACTGCGAACGAACACAACAATAAAGAGTACCACATTATCAAGTGCAGAATTATAAAGATTCTACTGTATTATTCAAATCTATGAAAAGGGAAAACTAATAAATATATTTGTAACTGAGAGCTATAAATTTGAAATTATTGGCATTATCGCAGATTCTGCAGTTGATAGTAAATTCACTGTTAAACCTTAACACTTACACAATGAACATTTCGTAGAAACTTTATTGACCATTTTAAATTCCGCATTTTTATTTTTATTACTTTATTAAAGTATAAAGTAAAATAATGAAATATCTAAATTAGATTTTGAAAAATTTATAAATTATGCTAGTGTTGATGTTTCCTATTGTGACAACTGGGGATTCCAAGATTACTCTTATTTTAAATACAAAATGGTAAATAATTAAGAAAATTCGTTAAAATATTTTTGTCAGTGCTGACACTAATCAGTATAAACTAGTCACGTTCTAACGTGCAATTAAATTAATTTAACTTATTTTTCGAGTAGCTGAAAATATAATAATAACTTGACCGCAATTATAACAGGGTTTATTAAATAAAACACTATTATGTAGAATACGTGGTTTGTGGGTCGATATTAGAGTTATGCATGAATAAAATAAGAAAATCGAAACGTTAGAGATATATCTGTTTATTTATTAAAACATAAGGATAATTATTATATACAAATAAATAAGTATGCTAAATAAGAACAAAATAAATAGTATCCTTATAAATACAAAAAAGAAAACTTTTAATGTAACCTTTAAACTAGAGTGGAAAGAGAATTTACATAAAAATACTATCGCATTACATAACGTTCGCGTGAAGAGTTGAGAGTTTTAGGGTACACATAGAGGTTGGGGAACTAGAAAACGTATGACTAAAGAATTTGGAACTCAACAAGAACACCAAAACAGAGGAAGTTTTTTATTAAAAAGTATATAATTTTTAAATAAAGTTTCATTTGATATATTATTAAAACATTATTTTAACAAAATTGTTAAAATATTTTCCTTAACTTAAACTATATTTGAAATACTGAGAGTAATTTTAGTGTCATATCCCATGCAATTTGGTAGCTGTAAGCATATTTACTTTAGTAAAGCATAGATAATGTTCTGTTTAACAGTGTATAATATTTTTAGATTTCACACAAATGCTTTATTTGCGTCAAATTGAATATAATTTGATACCAAAAATACACATATTATATTTCAACTCGCTATAATTTTTTCTCCTGTTTCACTGATTGCAATCAATATTGTTTGCAAATAAGGAAAACATATGGCTTTTTTAAGTGAAGTCATTAGAAATTTCGTACTACTGCGAGAACATTTGTTAACAGACCCAGGTTACCCCTTACTGCGAAAGTAAATAAACGTAATTGTTTTCTAACTCTATTTCAAACACTTTTTGGTGAGTTGTAAATCGAACAATTGGCAAAGTTTTATTTTCATTTTACTCAGGAAAATGTTGTTTTTAAAATTTAACAGATAGTTTTGTTAAATCTTTAAATATTAATTTAATTTTTAATTTTTAATGTGATATAGTCGTGTGTTATGCTTAACTCGATCACTTAACATAAAAATTGACATCGCTAAAAATTTTACATAAACCATCAAAATTTTTTGCCGATAATTTAAATATAAATTTTTCCTTGCAAAAAATGAAGGAATAAAAAACATGATCGCTGGACCATCAAAAATTCAGAAATTTACGACATGATGTCGAATGCGTAAATTCTTTTATTTATAACTAAAAGAATTTTCGAAATTTCATCAAAAAATGCATTTGCAACAATGCCTAAATGAAATTTTTATGCAAGTAACGCAAATTGTACAATTAGCGCAATTTCTATTATTGTAAGTAATTTTCAATATTTTTGTCACTCATTTCTCGCGTACTACAACGCGATTTCTCGCAGAGTATAATGCGACCTCGCTGAGTGTAATAAGGAAATGCAATTTCTCGACTCAAAATCGCGCTAGAATCGATCTTTTTCTTGAAATAAAAAATAATTGGGAAAGAAGAATTGATAACAGAAAAAATGCGCGCAATGGTCGTGATCAACAATAGCGATTATCTCGAGCATGTTTTTTCTGTTGAATTTTTTCGAAAATTTTCTGATAAATGCTGGTAAAAACTGCCAACAGACGCCTGGTGATCGAGTAAGGGCTAGTAGTGTTCAGTATGGTTAAGATATATCTATGGTCACTGGCAGAATCTATGTCGGTAGTATAACAATTGTGGAATCTATGGTGATGTGGCTATTTCCTAATGTTATGTTTATCCAACGTTTCCCTGTTATACAGGAATAGTTTGGAAGGGTGCTGGTGTTCAAGTGAGTAAGGTTGTGTTGGACCATGGTTGCGTTAACTATGTTACTCCAAGGTTTATCTCTTGGACTATGCCAGGCCGCATAGTCGTCATCGAAGTCACTTCCTATTAGGATAGGTTTATGTTTGTGTGAGTTCAGGAGGTGATAGATGTATTTAGTGGCCGTGTCAATGTTAGTGGAATGTAAAATATAGACAGAACATATGTACAGGTGAGTGTTACTGTCTGTAACACAGATGGTGGTAATGTATTCTGTGGAGTGTTGAGATACATAACACGCGGTAATGTTTTTGTTCTTGATGATATTAACCTTGATGCAATAGCCAAAATTCTGAAATAGATAACATTTCAGTCACTGAATCTGACAATTATGTTGGAAACAGTGTACGCTTATTACATCATGATGATGTCTGTATTGCCCATAATAGAATTGTGAATGAAAATGGAGCAGCCAGCATTGCATTTCTGTGCATTTTTCTTTGAGCTTATAGCTGCTTGTTTTTGTATTGTGTACGAATGTATTACTTATATGACCCTAATGGCAGCTTGTATTTTCATGTGTTTGGTTATGGTTCACTGTATAGAAAATGCATTCTGCGCAGTCTTACGTTCGCTCTGTTCGGGTAGGGTGTTATTGGTCTTTGCACAATGAACGTAGCATGGTTCCTTACTGTGAATGAAAAAAACCTTGTAGCTGTAGTTGCCAATGCAGTGACTACAGTGTTATTTTTTGTAGATTTTTTAGTTTGATGGTTGTAGCCACAGCATTTGTATCAGCATTTGAGAGGAATGTAGTCATCTACAAGTAACGTTTCCCATTGCACAGTAACATACTGCTGTTTAACTTAATTAACGTCTTCCTGATACTAAAAGTTACTTGAAAAACACCGCGTAATCTGGAAGTGTATGACGTGTTGAGGTTTATTTTGGTTAAAAAACAGCAAGAGACTTGAAATTTCTGGAGTGTGTGTGTAGTATTTATTGCTGTTTTTTGAATATGGAGTTCCTCTATGAAGGTGCTGGTGACTGTGTCACGTGGAGCATTTAAGAGAATAACCTTAGTATCTAATTTCTGTTCTATCTGTTAATATTCTTACTAAGTTTATGGCAACCACCATTTTGTCGCTGTCATCCTTTGTCTTTAACTAAATGCAAACTTTATCATTTCTAATTTTCCTGAGTGCTTTAACAATTCCCTGACTAGGTTTTATGTTTTTAGTCACTTATTTTGTCCTAAGTGATATTCATTTTCTGTTTTTTTTTGGAAAAACAAGAACTGCGTGTGTGCCAGCACTGATCTCTGTATGTTTATGGACTGTTTTGTGGATAATTGGTCTTTATTGTGTTAGCTCTTGCAACAAAACCAGCATAGGAGGAGGTCAATAAACTAATCATAATAGTGTTTTTTTGCAGTGTCCAATATTTAATTGACTTTGCATTCAATGAGGTAGAAACCTTCTCGGAAACCTCCTGTTAAATATATGTCAGCTAAAAAATTTGAAAACTGCTTTGCTAACAAGAAAAGATCATTTTCAGCTTCACGAATTTTTGTTCTGTTTTCTTTCCAAACAACCAAGCTGTATTCTTGTGGACAGTTTCTCAACATATTGTTTAAAAACTCCCTAAGCTTTTTACTGACCGAAGAGATGTCCGAGCATGGATTCCAAGCCCCAGTGTTTTTATAGCTAGATGGACACGCCATCTAAAAAGATTCTTAAACTTCTTAATTACCTTAAAACTAATAACTAATAACTTAAACCGAGGAAAAGAACAAGATCACTAAAAACGAAAATACTGCATATCAGTATAACCAAAAACCCCAAAGGACTGGAAAAGAAGGGGCCTAGGAAGAGAAAACTAACAGGGAGAACAAAGCACCTACGACTGAAACGAATTTCAAACGGAAAACTAACTACAAAAAACTGAACCCACGAAAATTCCAAATACAAACGAACACTGAGAAAGCTTCGAAAATTTCTAGATAGCTGAAACTGGCCTAGTTAGGCCTAACTATGAACTTACAACCACAAAGGCTGAGGAACGACTCAAAAACCTGAAAAACCAAACGTACTTTAACGCAGCAAACATACTTCAACTGAGCTTGCCAAAACTAACCAGTAAGCCTAACAACTGATAAACGTGTAAAAATGAAAAATCTAGCGTATTGAAAACAAGGAACTTACTAAAAATCTAAGCAGTAACAGAAACACTAACTAAATTAAAAAAACCATCAGAAAAAACACACAGTAGAGCACATGAAACACAAAAGTAGATCCTATCAAAAACCTCACTAACACAGGCAAGAACCAATCAGAGGAACCTAGAAGTGCCTGTAGCGTTGCAGTTTACTTTGGTTAGAACACACCAAGAGTCTTGAAATTCCTGGAGTGGGTGTGCAGTACAGTGGTACCTCAGGTTACGAACGCCCCAGCATACGAAATTTTCAGGATACAACATGAAAATCGAACATATTTTTGCTCCACGATACGAACAAAAACTCACCATACGACGTTACATTAGTTCGCATTTTTCATTTGTTTTTCTTACTACAGTTATTTTTTTAATGTATTACTTGGCTTTAAATTGAGTATGTTTTTCGCGTTGGAACGAATTATTTGGTTTTACATGTAATCGTATGGGAAAAGATGATCCACCTTACGACATTTTCATGATACGATCTCAGTTTCGAAACGGATTAATTTCGTATCCTGAGGTACCACTGTATTTATTGCAGTGTTCTACATGTTAAGTTTCTCTATGAAGGTGCTAGTGACAGTGAAACATAACACTCAGATAACGAATGTAGAATTTTTTTGCATGCGCGTTGACATCAGACAGATGGACAAAAGTTCTAACATAAGCACTTCACCACGACAATAAAGAATTTTGTTACTAAACGAAACGTTTGCTGTAAATAATCAGACTATTATTTTGCTTTTATTAATAATTAGATATGAAGTAATTTTGGAATAAAATTACAAGTTACATTCCATCTCTTGTATCAATTAATAATTTACATAACTTTACTAAAAGTATTATAATTATTAATTTAGATAAAAGTCTCTTGATTATATTGATATTTGCGAAATTCGATAAGATAAATTTACAGCATCGATTTTAATTTATATCACGGAGGTAAACAACGGTAAAAATTAAAATGATTTAGCATTAAAATTATTCTAAGCTTTCTGGTAATGTCAGAAATCTACGAAGTATCCACTCGAATAAAAATTTTAATTTAACCTTTTGATGGTTCAAATGTTCAAAGTTTAGCATAAATGTAGTAGTAAGTAAAAGAACCATTAGCAACATCTTGAAATATGAAGTAAAAAAAAATCATGTGCTTGCGTTTTGTATGATGAACGCATTTGTATTTATTACAAGTAATGAAAAATTAGCTTTTTATCATACAAGTGGGTTGCAATTACCATATCTATTACCAATGACAGTCACTGGTACTCTTATGACTTGAATTCTTTTGAAAATTTTGTATCATTCAAAAGATTGTGTATCTCAATCCATGTTTTATCTTTATTTTAGTAATACATACTAGAAACTATCTTTATTTATCTTTTGTGTTAAAGCAAGAAATTTCTGAACAATACATAAGAATTGATAACAGCCATATATAGGCTATACTTTCATTAAATGTTGTTAGTGGTAATATCTCTCTGAGCGTAAATTAAATAACGAGAATTTGTGCAGAATATCAACATGAAAATTACGCAGCTCAATTGCATTCATACAATTTACTAGACTCGTCTCAGTTCTAACATTGTGAAATTGCGAAAAGCACCTGTCAATAATAATTTAAAATTTACTCGAACTCACAAACATATAATATCATAGATGCTAAAAGTCGTGTTTTCTGATTACATATCATAAATTTTCAATCAAAAGATATATTTCACTATTTAAAACGTCTCTAATCGTTTTACAGTACACAAAGCAGATACGAAAAAGTTCGAAATATCATTAATCTTTATTTTTCACTTTACCTTAACAACCTGAAGAGCAGTGATTGTAAAAAGAATGTAAAATGTATTTGGTCAGTTTCTTCATCTATCAAAGTAACGTGTTCGTTAATACTAATCAACTAATTTTATTTTACAGTTTTTTACTTTATAATGAGTACATCTCTAAAGCTCGGATGTGTAGATTCAACATTTCCATTGGCATCATTGCTTCTTGAGTATTTTGTTGTTGCCTTATTTATATACTGGACGAGTTTTCATATTACTGTGTTGGAAAATTTTAGTTTCTAATGAATCTAATGCCTAATTAGTCAGATTGCTACTAGTAGAAGAAATACATAATGCATACTATGAAGAGATAAATAACAAAAATAAAGATTTTTCATCACTATGTACAATACACAGTTAATATGTTATAGAAAATAAAGCAGTTTTATGTTTCCATAAAGTTAACTAATATCTCTTGTATAATATTTCTGAAGTTAAACAAATAACAGAGAGAGCAGAACCTACAATAAACAATATTAAAATACTACTTAGATCTTCCAAAGATACAGGTTGAAATTCAGAAAACTCCACAAAGCTTTTAGTTTCGGAATAATCGACTTTTTCAACGATTCCAGCTTCAAATAAACGAGTCACTCTACAGAAAAAATAATAATTAATTTCTATCGTTCGTATTTGTAAATCGTGAAAAATAACAATATCTTACATAGCGTTTATATCTTTTTTTAAGGAAAAATTTTTTCTCATAGCATAAGCATTTGTAATTGTTATCAAAGGATCATCGGATATTCGATATTTATGCATTTCTTCTATTCGGATAAACTTCTTTATTATTTTCGTGCTTGCTATAAAAGCAAAATTTTCATCGATAACGCGTTGCATCGCTCTGGATCCGGGCATAAAATTATTGTGTTTTTCTATATTATTTCTCATAATTTTATAGATGTTCGAACTTGAATTCTTAAAGTAAAAATAACGAATACAGTTATACAAGTGTATACGAAAATGCTACGGACAATGTGATTAATAAAAGCATCAAATATAATGCTCAGCCATTCTGAATAATAAAAAACAAAGTCAGACATTGTAATAAATAACACGTTTTTACCACAGTTTATCACATTAACAGATT